AAGTTTCGAAAATGATCAATATTAGCGTTTCTTAGCTTATCAACATAGATAATAGCATGTTGAGACCTATTGAATGTGTACAACAGGTATATTTGTCAGCTAAATCAACGGTTAGAATACTGATAACAAGAGTAAATAAAAAAAACAGAAAATAAATAATGAGCGAATAACAATAAGACAAAAAAAGCGCATCAGTGGTACTTAAAAATAAAACAAAAACATACATCGATAATACAGATTTAAGTTGAAAACATTTAAGAGTAGACATTGTTTCCTCGACTGAAGAGAGGTTCATACAAAAAAAAACACAAAATGCGTTTGTCTGTTTATTTGTCGGAGTCAAAGATCAAAGGTCAAAAAAGCATCGTCTTAAAAGTTCAATGGTAGACGTTTTTCTCCATCCTAAAAGAACGAAATCTTCACAATGGAAATTCGTATGTTTCTCCGATGTCTGATTGGTCGAAAAATGGGCCAAACAGATTTCAGGAGGACTTTTCTCTTAATATGAGGACAACTGCTAGTCATGTTGGAGCCGACCTTAGGGTTATCGAGGATGCTCTATCGAATGAGGGGTATACGTGGGGACTCCGCCTTACATATCACTAAGAAATAGAATCTCTCAATGTGATTGGTTGAAAACTGGACTAATCAGATTTCAGAAGGACTTTTCTTTCTTGTTATCAGGACAAGTGCTCATCATGTTCGGGCCGATCCTAGGGTTGTCGGAGACGCTCTATCGAATGAGGGGTATATGTGGAGGCTCTGCCTTGCATATCACTGAGAAATTGAATCTCGTAATCTGCAATCAGGTTTTTCAAGCTGAAATTCCGGTCAATCAAGTATTTTCGATACTGGCCTTTCGATCAATCAGATTTTTTCAAGCTGAAATTCCAGCCAATCAGAGTTTTTCGATATCGGGCGTCCCGAACCAATCAGATTCTTTCAGGCTGGAATTTCAGCCAATCAGAGGTTTTCGATAACGAGTTTTCGACCAATCAGATTCTTTCAGATTCGAAGTTTAGCCAATGAAAGGTTTTCGGTACCGGGCTTCCGACCAATCAGATTCTTTTAAGCTGGAATTCCAACCAGTACGACATTTTAGCTGACTAGCTCTCGTCCAATGATGTTTTCTGAGACAAGAAGTTCAGCCGATCAGATGTTTTCACTCTTCAGCTCTTGTCCAATGAGACTTTTATCAAGCTGAGAGTTCAGCCAGTGAAATGCTTTTGCTATTCCGTTTTTATTCAATCAGGCTTTTCAGTCGGGAAGTTCAATCAATCAGATATAATTGTTGTGGGACTGTCCTGCAATCAAATATTTCAAGACTGGGTATTTCACAATGAAATATTAAGTCTGTCTTGTAACAGTTCAAAAGTTTCTCCTCTCCTTTTTTTCAACTGGATCGATGTCTCGTGGCTATTTAACGTTAATTAGGGCTATCTAAGCTAATTAAGTCAAAGTAATGTAACTGAAGTTAGTCAAGTCGCATTAAGTCTATTTAATAGTAACTAAGGTAACTAAACTAGTTATGGGTGTGGGTGTGGGTGTGTGTGGGTGTGGGCTGTGGATGTGGGTGTCATCTTGTTCATACAACCACACCCACACCCACACCCACACCCACACCCACACCCACACCCACACCCACACCCACACCCACACCCACACCCCACACCCACACC